CCCAGCTTTAGAATAATACCATGCATGTATGCTTAGTGTTAACAGTACAAGGAAGAAGAATTGAGACTGAAGGAAGAAGATGAATATTGAAGAAGAACTCAGGGAAGAAGAGAGAATTTGTTTTCTTTGATTTTCAATCGTATTCACAATTACAGAGAGATGTTTTTATATCAGATGTTTAGCCGATAACTAATGCTTAACAAACTAACTAATTACAGCTGTGACATGTGAGCCACACGTGCCAACACTAACAAACTCTTAGCTAACTATTACTGTTATCACTTAGGGTTTAGAATATCTTTAGGCTATAGCCATTAATTTAATTATGTTGTTTACAATATTTGGCCACCATCAATGATAAAAGAGACTCCATTTTCTATGAGTTCATGTTTATGTTCACATCTCAAATAATTCTATTGGATTTCATTGCATTTCATATCATTCGATAAAGATATCGCCACGTGTACACTCATGGACCTCTAATAGAAGTTGTAAATACCCCCAAAAGATTCTAGAACCACAATAGTGCCACTGGTGTATAAGTATAATGAGCCCAATTGTAAATTCAAGATATTCTTGAGGGCATTTCTCCATCACCTCCTGCTTCTAAATTCTTCCCTAAATCATCCAGACAAGTCCTATAAACTTGTGGACCTAAGACATTGATGCTCTTCAGCAACATATACCAACCTCTCACAAAAATTACCATATCTCTCTGTTAGGGATACAAATACATACAACTTTCACAACTCCACCATGGCTGCTTCTAGCATGTTTAAGCTATCATTTTTCTTGAGCCTTCTTTCCCATCTGAACTTGGGTCTGTGGGCACAAACTCATAGCAGCTTGGCCATATTTCCACCATCATGTAACAGCATAGAGTGCCCAAGCTTTGACACAATTGAGGTTGGCAATGGCTATGAAGTCCGGCGATACAATTCGAGTGAATGGATATCCACTTCTCCTATTCAAGATATCTCTCTTGTTGAAGCCACCAGAACTGGCTTCTTACAGTAAGTTTGTTTTTCCTTTTTTTATTGTTCATGTATTCTTGCTAAGCTAGAATTATTATGGGAATGGCTTAATTCGAAATGTGTTATGGACGTGGAAAAATTATTGTATGTGCCGCTGTGCGGGTTATATATAATCTATTTTTTACAACATGGGAGTTTCGTTGTTAGATTTTATATGATGGGTTTCACATGTATGTTGCGTAAGAGGGAGGGAGGTGATACATAGTCAGTACATACAAAGATTCTACGCAAATTCAATTGAAGTACAAATTACTCTCACAAGGAAACAATAATTGATAAATCACAATAATTGTACTGAAGAAATGAGGGAACTATGGAATTTTTGGAGTTCATTGATGATGGTTTTTGGTTTTTTTGTCACAGGCTGTTTGAGTACATTCAAGGGAAGAACAAGTACGAAGAGAAAATAGAGATGACTGCCCCAGTGCTCAGTGAAGTTTCACCAAGCGATGGACCCTTTTGTGAATCTTCATTTGTGGTGAGCTTCTATGTGCCAAAGAAGAACCAAGAAAACCCACCACCAGCAGAAGGCCTCCATGTCCAAAAATGGAAAACCACATATGTGGCAGTGAGACAATTCAGTGGGTTTGTATCAGACGACAGCGTTGGAGAAGAAGCTGCTGCCTTGAAGACCAGTCTTGCAGGTACTGTTTGGTCTGCCGCCATCGAGAAAAGCCATGCAGTTGATCATACTTCAGTTTATACTGTTGCACAGTACAATTCCCCATTTGAATTTGATCATAGGGTGAATGAGATCTGGTTGTCGTTCGATTTGGAAGACGGCATTGCAGTATAAGAGTGAGAAGAGAACAAAACCACCATGCTTTAAGACCTCTAATCTCTTGTAGAGATAGGCATTGTGACGGTGAGTAGGTGGCTAAAGTTTTATGGTGGGGAAATCCAAACCTGCTAATTATCAGTTTACTTCTTTTTGTAGTGAGAAATGTTGTGTTGCCCAGTATCAAACTCTGTTACAGTTTACACAGAATAAAGAGGCTACTTCACTGTAAGGAATTGTAGCTAGTCAAGTTGCCTTAATTTGTAACACTAAATGAAGCTTAGAAGCTGACAACGCAACAATGGCTTTTAAGGGTCATAAGCAACTCCATTGAAATAAGTATAACCGACATTTAAAATCAATTCCCTCCATGCTAGACAAAAGTCATGGAAGGAAACAAGTCCCACGACAACGAAACAAACTTTTCCCACTCTCCATGAATACCAACAATTCCAAGATTTTATGAGCTCTACAAGTGAGACAAATTTGTTTGTGAGAAAAGATATTCAAAGAACAGATTGAAGCGAAGGAAAATCCCGGGACTTTACAATTTTCAGCGATAATTAGATAGCTAACAAAGATGGTTACATTTACTTGTTTTAATACGAACTGCATGCCCCAATCAACAATACATTGAAAACAAAAATTTTGAGGCACAGCTCCTACCAGACTAAATCACCTACTTAATCAGTTGTACTCATGGATTAAAGTTTACAATGATCAGACGTTCGATCAAGAAAGTGTACTGGGTTACTCCCATATCTTACAAAAGTGCTGCATTTACCATCTGGAGGGTGTGCAGTCGGTGAATCACTGACCTGTTTTGAATAGTTTCGATTCTGTACTCTGTCAATGGGACGGGTTGACAAGTACGAATCCAACAAAAGGCCCTTGTCCTTGGAAACAAACCTAGTGTTTGGCCTACTATTTGAAAATTTTCTGCATGAAACAGAACTGCGAGAATACTCTGGAGCATATAAGGTGTTGAAAATTGACGAGATATTGCCTGCATCAGCATAATCTACTGTACTAAAAGAGTCTCTAGTACTCTCAGTTGTGAAAGAGGCCTCATCGGAACTTGTAAAAAGGGACCAATCGCTTGATGTAGCATCAGAGAACTCCACGCCGATGGGCTCACCATATGTTTCCGTCATTGGGAAAACATTCCCATTAGAACTCCTAAAGATGTCACTGGAGGTACTATTGGCAAAGCTATTTGCGATTTCTGGCCTGATATCATCCGGTAAATGCACTGGGCTAACAAATTGGCTGCTGTGTTTGCTTTGACCTGGCCTTGACTTCTGAGCTTTTGACATGCAATGGTTTTCAACGTTCGGAACTTGCTGCCTAATAGATTTTCCAGTGAATGCTCTTTGAGGGCGGGGACAAGACCTAAGGACAAAAGAAATTTCAAAATTCGAAGAGAGCTTGGAGGGTTCACAATAGATAAATGAATATATGGCACAAACCACACAGCAAATATCCATTGCAAACCACATGGCATGGACACCACCAACTGAACTCCTCTTCACACTACCATAGTTGGTGTTATTAAGTAGAAGCTAATATATTCCAACATCTAATTATGTAAATGCTAATTAAAACCCCAACAAAAAGAAAAAGGTAAGGAAAGATCATAGAGGATTTTTTCAACCTCAATAAGTCTTACCTCATGTAAAATAAAATATATGCTCCTTCCATCATAACCTGGCTCATTGAAACGGGCTGAACCTGTTTATGAAGCTTCGTCAACTTTAGGACCAATTAATTGAAGAAAAAATAAAACAAAAAACATACACTTCAATCACTTGTTTGTTCGAGATATGTACCAAGGGGAACCATGTCACTACTCAAAAGGCATAAACGCAAATGAGAGATTCCTTTCCATTTTTGCTTATGGAATAAAATGCAGGTCCACTCCATCAATTGTTGTTGTGAGTATAACATAGAGATTTCATAAAGCAGTACCCTTTTATTTATAGTGACCAACAGACCTAATTACAACAATACGGCTTCTACAAAATTATAATTTACATTTGAAGGGCGTTAATGTCTTATCAATTTCATGACATTGATAAATGGAGGCTCTATCACACACATTATATTTTCAACAAACTGGGGATTCTTCAGTAAACAACCATACGAGCATTAATGTGAAGAACAATGGAGGACATCGTGCGTTTGAGGGGAATATTTTTGTCGTTCAATGAGACAACAGATCATCTTTCTTTTTCTGCAAAGTTCTCATTATGTTCTTATTGCCACACTGTTCATTTCAAAGATTGAGAAATATCCAAATTATATTGTAAGTTTGGAAGAATAGGTTTGAAGTAGATCTCACAATCTTTTTTTTATTGTCCCTAAAAACCCAAACTCAACAACCAAAATGTTTCATAAAAAATTGGACAAGGAATGACAAATACATTATTTTAATATTGAATGACTGACCAAAGAAATTAAAGTCTAAATATTATGTTGGTCTTTTGGCTTTGTGAAACTATAATCAAAATATGGGCAGGAAGAAACAAAACACATTCACTCAGTAGGTAAATTCGGAATCAACCCCCTTTTTTTTTCTTTTCTTTTTTTTGGGCAAATGAAATTTCATTCGCTATGAAAAGCTCCCCAAAGCCTTGCACTGAAATGTTAATGAGTAAAGGCATTTACCTGAGTGTCATCTATCCTGAACCAATTGCCTCGCATGTCTTTCACATATGCCACATAATGTCCAGAGAAAGATGCATTCTGCGTATCCAAATGCACCACAACGGCATAGAGCAAGTAAAGTGGAGGAATGTCGCCCTTGCCAGTCATAAATGGAACCATATCCAGCATGTCCGGAAAAGTGATGCACTTATTTATTTTCCCATATTTTCCCTCCTGAGGAAAAACCAGCCATGATTTAATAGTCCAGCAAGTGAAGTAGTGCCAAGAAGAAAAAGCCAGGAAGCCCTACAATTATCTAGCAGTAAGGTGTCAACCCTGAAACTCGTTTTTATGGGTAGAAGTTGGAATCACAAGATGACTAGGATTTGAATTTTGACTTGCATTTGTGTTTCAGTGACTTTTAAGTGATAGTCATAAAATGCTGTTCATTAATTCAACTTGATTACCACTCTTGCTTAATACCAAATCAATTAAGTTTCTAAAACCTGAATACGGTACAATAGCAGCTTTTATAGTTCCCAAAGAAAGTTGAAAACCACTGGTTATATAGGCTTTAGAAGGCACCCACAAACACCTCTCAACGCTAAATCATACTGATACCTGAAATCTCTTCAAGACAATTGTGAGGATATTTGGAGCTTCGTGTATGCTCAATTGCTTCCTGGCTCGAACATATGCAGCACACCTTTTTCCCCAATAATATGAGTTTGTAAGTTATTTAAGTTGTACTGTAAAACTAAAAACTTATACATTATTTGGGATCCAAAAATACTAAAATAAGGCCATCAAACCTTCCGCATCTGTACATGTTTTCTCCATCCAAATCTTCAGGGGTGGTAAATTGAGTCAATGCATCCTCAAGTGACTCAACCCAACCAAATATTTCTAATGTTAGATCCATGATGTTTTCATATCGTTCCGACTCATGATGACATCTCAAACACTTGACCTGGCGGCATCAAGATTTGATTCATCCATGATTAATGTGGGCAAAAAGTAAAATAAATTTTTTATTAAAAAAACTATTTAAAAAAGTAGTTTTATGGAAAGATGATTCATGACCGAAAGAATATGCAAGTATGCAATGAGCACCTTTGATCTGAGGTGCCCACCAAATGTATGTTGTATAAAAGTTGTTTCTTGCAATCTGGGATCAACCTTGTTTTCACCACCTAGCCCCTCCAAGCATATAGATTGCATTGATGTAATTAGAAGCCTGGATAAAGACAGCATCATATACAAAAATTCCTTCATCAAAATCTGAACTTTCAATTCATTAATTTGAATTTCCAAAACTGAATATAATATGGAAAGTTGGAGACAGATGCAAATGCCAGAACATCAGTGTCAAGAAAAAACACATAACTGAAAAATTTTGACAGACCTTAAAAATTCATGTGCATCTTCCTGACTTCCATCACCAATTTGGCAATTAATACTCCTCATGTGAAAAAGAATTCGGCTAGGAGAAAGGGGGCCCCCACTTTCTCGTAGCATCATCACATGTTGCTCCAATTCACACATGAGACACCAGTCTTTACCACAACCTAGTACAATACCATAAACAAAAGTGATTCGCATGCGGATTCAAACAAAACACCACCATCCAAATTCATTGACTAATTTAAAGGGATATGAGAAAAGGTAAGTACAGGCGCTTGAATGTGATCTACGAAGCAAATACATAATGAGAGGCTTTGTGCAGGTTAAGCACTGCAAGACGGCATTTGCATAGCAACTGCAAGAAAAAAGTTACAATAAAATAAAGTGGCATGGAAGATTCAAAGAAAACACATAAGCTCATGTTCATTCTTTCACGCGCATAAAACAATGCTTGGTCTTTCTGTTACAAACCCAATAACCCAAAGACACAGCACGCCAAAATATAAAATAATTAACGGTTGGGTCTTAGGACTTTATTCAGATGAATCCCCTGATCAACAACCAGTCTCCATCTCCACAGATTACATTAGTCATCTTTTAGTCAAACTTTATCTCTAGTATCACTTGTATATAAATTTTTATGCATTAAAAAAAAGAGTAAAGGTCATTATAAGAAATCAACATCGAGAAAGTACGGGAAGGTTATGTTCACGATCACGTGGAGTTTTCATTTCTATCACGTGGATCCCATATTTAAGCTCATGACCTAGTAATACCATACATAAATTATCATACTTTACCTGTTCCCACAATTCAAAAGGCCTCGAGGTGATAAGTCAAAGACTTCACACTGAAAGTACTTCACAAACTCATCATAAGGGAACAGGACCTGAGAGTCAAAGGGCATATATCAGTGACAACGTGCATTCAACTCAGAACACAGAAGAATAATATAATTCATGGAGGAGGGGTTGTAAATAACTCAGGAGATCGTCCATTCAACAAATGAAATGGGGATTCAATGAAACAGAGAATAGACCTTCCTGGTTTTGTGTCGATAACCATTGACTTCAGGGGCATCCTCTCTGGTTATGGTTTTTGGCTTCTTTAGACCCATCATCTTCATGATCCTTAAGTTTGCAATTCCGTTGCTCCCCTGTGTGGTGGTATCTCTCATTCTAG